GGCAGTGAGCTGTAAGCACCCTCAGTGCAGAGGGCAGTGAGCTGTAAGCACTTGCAGTGCAGACGGCAGTGAGCTGTAAGCACCCTCAGTGCAGAGGGCAGTGAGCTGTAAGCACCCACAGTGTACAGAGGACAATCTCAGATCAGTAGGCTTAGGTTCTACCCTAAGAAAGTAGAGAATGAACAGACTGAACCCAAGTTAATAGGAAGGAGAGATAACAAAGATTACAGCAGAAATAAAGGATATAGAGAAGACAAACCATTGGTTCTTTGAAAAGACCAACAAAATATCAGGCTTCTGCTAGACTGATGGAGACAGAAGGAGATCTCCCAACTGCTAAAATCAGGAATGCATACTTGATGTTAGGCTGGCTAGGAGGGTACCCATCTTCCTCCACTACTCCATGTGTGTCTCTCTTGAAGCTGCATGCTTGGTCCTCAGTCAAGGGTATATGAGCCCTGAGTTCCCTGTTAGTACCTCCAGCCAAGCTCTCAGGGTGTAAAGCCTGGAATACCAGTGTTTGGAAGCTTAGGCAGGAAGATTGCCACAAGTTTGAAACCAGCCTGGAATACACAGAAGAGCCTACCTCAAGAATTAATTAATTAATTAACTAATTAACTAATTAATTAATTAATTAATAGAACATATGCTCTGAGAAACTGTATGCTACAAAACTAAATCACCTGTATGAAATACACAAATCCCTGGAAGCACAAATTGCACTACAGAGTAAGCCTACAACAAAAAAATTTAAATAAATAAAAACTTGCCATACAAGCCAGAGCAGCATCATTGCTTTAACAGTGAATCTTACCAAGTGTTTAAAGAAGAAATACCAGCCCTGCTTCTTAGACTCTTCCAAACTGGGGTGAGAGAAGCACTGTTCTCCTTGTTCCTATGAAGTCAGTACTGCTCTGATACCTGAGTCCAAGGACTTGGCAAAAAAGAAAACTGGGGCCAGCAAGGTGGCTTGGTGGGTGAAGGTGCTTGTTGCCAAGGCTGACGAGTGGACTTTGATCCTTTGGACCCACATATGAAAAGAGAGCTAACTCTCAAGTTGCTCTCTGACCTTCGTGTGTGTGTGTGTGTGTGTGTGTGTGTGTGTGTGACATTTGTATCCACACATACACACAAATAAATAAATAGAAACACTGAAGACCAATATCCCTTATCTATACAAAAACCTTCATGAAAACACCAGTAGGATTTTACACCCTGAATTCAGCAATAGTTAGAGGGAATCATATAACTGACCTGGTTAGCTTTGTTGCCAACTTAACAGCATAGGAAGATCCTGTCCCAAAAATAAATAGATCAATGGATAGATGGGTGGGTGGGTGCTCTGAAAAACTGTATGCTACCAAACATATGAAATACTCGTTTGAGATGGGGAGGGAACCCCAGTTGAAGAGTTGCCTCCATCAGAAAGCCTGTAGGCATGCATGTCTGGGGAGCATTTGCTGATCTGATTGATGTAGGAGCGCAGCACTGTGGATGGTCCCATTCCTAGGATAATAGGCTTGGAAGAAGTGTAGCTGAATGTGAACCCAGAGCAAGCCGGTAAGCAGCACCCCTCCATAGTTTCTGCTTCAAGCTTCTGCCTTGAGTGCCTACCTTGGCTTCCCTCGATGATGGCTGAAAAATGTAAGCTGAAATAAACTTTCCTCCCCAGCTTGCTTTTGGTCAGTGTTTTATCACAGCAGTAAAAATCAAAATGGGACAATATCCTAACTAAGTGAGGTTTATCCCAGGAATGCAAGGTTGGTCTGACATGTGAAAATCAATTATATACCATTTTCATTCAGTAAGGGACAAAAACGCATAATTATATCTCAATAGGCCTTAGCCTCCCAAGTGCCAGGATTGCAGGGGCATGCCACTGTGCCCAGCTGCGTATTTTAATTTATGTCAAGGGACATGTTTTAAGCCCTGCTCTGGCTTTTGGGGTGGGTATACTTATGAAACTTTCTTATTACAAAGAATAAGAAGCTACAGGAGGTGAGTTACCCATAGGTTTTGAATATGATTATGTCTTATGTAATTTCAAAGTTGTGGGTTTTCAGCCTTATTGAGATATACTTAAAATAGAAATTAAGTACATTTAAGGGATACAGTAATACGCCTGAGACATACAGTCACTGTGAAACAGTTGGCCCAATCAAGCTACTCTACCTATCACCTCCCATAGCTACTCGTGTGTGTGTGTGTGTGTGTGTGTGTGTGTGTGTGTGTGTGTGTGTATGCGCGCGCGCACGCCCCTATCCTATAAGAACCCTTGAGATCTCCTCTTGGCAATATGAAGTATAGAACTCTTTGATAAAAGCTTGGTAGCCATGTTACATAATAGGTCTTCAGACTTACTTATTTTACAGTGGTAAAGTTGTACCCCTTAATCCATGCCTCCCCTCGTTACCCCACTGCCCACCCTGTAACCCCCCTGACTGTCTGCTGCTCTGAGCTCTGCTTTCTTAGATTTCATGTAGAGGTGAGGTCATGCAGTATTTGTCTGCCTCTATCCAGTCTGCTTCACTTGGCAGGGTCTCCAGGTCAACTGCTCTTGTCACTGTGGTTAAGTTTCCCTTTCTTGAAGGCTAAATAAAGTCACCCCCCCCCCCCCCGTGCCCTCTCTGTCACTTTTTTAATCATTCATACACAAAGTGACATTAGTTGTTTCTGGATCTGGCTATTGTGGACAGTGCTGGAGTACAGGTATCTCTTCAAGGTAAAGAACGTTTTCCTCTGGATGGGCACCCAGAAGTGGTATTGCTGGATAGTGTGGGGATTCTGTCCCTCATTCGTCGAAGAGCTTCCACTTGTCCATGATGACTACACTTTACATTCCCATGATGTCCCAGAGTTCCTTTCTCCATATTCTTCTTAGCTATTAGATTCTGATATTTTGGTACTAGCCATCCCTGGCAGATTCAAGGTGGTATGGCACTGTAGGTTAGCTGGTTTGTTTTGCTTTTGAGACAGCATCTCTGTATATCTCAGGCTGTTCTGCAACCCACTGAGTAGCCCTGAGTAGCCTCAAACTCGTGATCATCCTGCCTCGGCCTCCAGAACGATGGCGTTATAGCTTGTGCCACCATGCTGAACTCATTGTGGTTTTGATTGTTTTTTAATCACACTTTTAAAAATGGGACTGTATCATCATCCCGTTGGTTCAAGGGTTCATTTTCATGGCTTAGGGATTTGCTCAATGGTAGACTGCATCAAGCATGAGGTACTGGGTTTGGTCCTCAGTGCCAGTGCCAGCGCACGCGTGTGCGCGCATGCTCGCACATACACACTAAAATTTTTTTTGAGTTAGTTTTCACATACCTTTAAATCCCTCTTTTATGTTACTCAGAAACCACCCCAGCAAACAGGACCATGCAGCAGCTCCTCTGAGCTGATGAGCTTTTGGGTGACTTAGCTCTCTACCCCTCGCCCCCAGCATCTGGGTGCAAGAGCACCATGGATTGTCTTTTACAATCTTGACTATTGGTGCTGGAGAGGTGGTTCACTGGTTAAGGATGCCAGCTGCTCTTGCAGAGGACCCAGCTCAGTTCCCAGCACCCACATCAGATGGTTCAAAAACCACCTACAACTCCCCTTCTAGGAGATCCAATGTGTCCTGGCCCCACAGGTATATGTACATACATGGTATACATAAACCCATGCAGATACACAGCTACACATAAATTAAAATAAATATTTTTATTTAAAAGTTGTGGACTATCCCTTATCACTCCTTACCCCTGTCAACCCAGCGACCAAGGTCATCCTCAGCTGTATAGTGATTTCAGGTCTCTAAGAAATACTGTTGTTTGTGGCTGGAACATAGCTCAGTGGTAAAACCAGAAGAAGGCTTGGCTCTTAAATTTCTGCTCTCTTTGAGGCAGGAGGGAGAGGAAAGAGGAAGGAAGAAGAGGAGAAGGAAAGTCATTCTCTGCAGAATGAGTCACTCCTGAGCTAAGGGTAACTAAGGAGGCTCTGGGCTGTGAGAGGAAAGGAGTGTTAGGGGGAAGGTTGGTGAGAGCGACCACCTAACAGTGCCCCTCCGAATTCCAAAAGTGCAGAACGTGGTGTTAACTGACTGCAGGAGGAACAGCATCCTGTTGGTTTTTCCCTGAGTTTTGAAGCTAGCAAGAAGGGAAAAGAACAGCTTCCGCCTCGCCTGCACCTTCCACAGCCCATGACTACATATGTTCAGAAGGAAAGCGGATCCCTGGCCCGGGCCCTAGCACAGCCCGCACAGACAGGTCAGGACCCACCCCTCCCTGGCAAATGGGAAACTGTCAGATGAGGTTTAGCTCTGGTGTTTGCAGCTTGCATGGGCTGGTGGTGGAGGCCTCGGAACCTGGGAGAGCCAGTGCACCTGGATGCACACAATGGTCCTATCCTCCAGCTCTGTATTAACTAGGCCTGTCTCACGATGATGGGAATATATATCGTTGGAAACCTGAAACCCAATATTCCTCTTTTATGTGAGGCCGTCTTTAGAGACCTAAAACCTCCTTTGAAACGTCCAGTGTGTTTAAATTAATGCAGTTTGGCTGGTTTGAAGATTGCAAATAGGTTAGGGCTAGATTCTGTTAGTAATTACTTTCTTCTATTGACAATAACTGTTTCTTTAGAAATGACATTAACATTCTACAAAAACACAGCAGTAATCCAAAAGTTAATGTTCTGTTCACTTATAATTATATTTAATTCATATTTATGAGTTCATGGGAGGGAGGAACAAGAAAGAAATGAGTTAAAAATGTTACAGGAAAAACAATGTAAAAGAATTTTTTTCTCTGAAAAATGTTCAAAGTCACTTGAAGAAAGAAAAGAATAATTTTTAAAACAGTTATATAAAATCATATTTTACGGACTAATGCTGAAAATCTGTGTTTTTATGAATTCTTAGTGGCACTGAACAAATTCAGTGGAGATTTTTCTCCATATTTTTCTTTTTCACTAACCAAAATACTAACATATTTATCATTGTGATGTTTATTTCAGCAAGTCAGATTTGGGAGGGAGGATCCACATCTTCAGACCAAATAGATTATGTAGCTCTGTGTTGTTTCTTTGAATTGTCCACGAAGCCTGATGTATTATGAATGAATTAATTTCGTGGCGGCGGCGGAGGCCCATGAATAGCGGCGTGTGAATGGGCAGTTGCCCGGTGGGGCCAGTGCTGGCTGCTGCCATTTACCATGTGTTGCAACTATTGTGAAGTCTTCCCCAGCCACAGGACAGTGCTCAGTTAATCCACCATGATGGGACCTTCACACCCTGAACCAAGTTGGTTGCCAGGGTCAGTCGCTCTGATGATTCTGCCTGCTGTTAGTTTTCCCTAAACCAGGGGAGACGACCGTGGGAGAAGTGAAATGTCCTCAAAAGAGACCACAAACTGGTCAGCTTGGTGTTGGCCTCTGTTCCAGAATGGAGGCGGCTGTCTTCCTTCTCCTGGAAATGGAAGCATCTGGGCCCCTGAGATCCCTGATGTTCTGAGGTCCAGAGTAGCAGATGGCATTATGATTTTCCAAATCCTGGTGAACATTCTAACTGAACTTGTTCATTTCACAGTGTGTAGTTTTGTTTTGTTTTGTCTCATATCTCTCCCCTTTGTTCCTCTCATATTAACTAATTTTAAACTGATGCAGTATCTCCTTCCGCCAGATTTAAATTCCCTCCCTGTTAATTATTCTATGGAGCCAAGGGTAGAGGTTTCACATACAATCCCAAGCTTGCAATTGCAGATGATGGGCCTTTGGGTTTGGTTAAAAATGTAAGCAGATGCCACCCAGCTCCTTCACCACGAGTCACCGAAGTTCCGGTTTTCCCCTTATCCGTAGCTTGCAGTCAGGTGGCAGAGGGCAGTAATTATTCTAACAGTCGAGTGAACATTCAGGAGGGCAC